TGTGTGTGTGTGTGTGTGTGTGTGTGAATGTTTTGCCTCTGAAAACCTGTTATTACCCTGATTCATAATGAAGCAAGTCACAGAGAAATAGAAATGAATGCTTTGTGTGATTGTGTGTGATTGTGTGTGTGTGAGGGAGTGAGTGAGTGCGCGCATGCTCGTGTGCGTCTCTTGATTTTGCCGGAGACAATCTGTCCCCTGGCCGAGTGCCAGTGGAAATTAATGTCAGGATCAGCTTACGTTTAAGACATATGTAACATCATCAATCATCAGAGACGGTGCACGGACAGATACCAGCTGAGCGACTGACCAACAACCCGACTAATTTAATGTGTTTTTAGGGTATTGAAGGAAATAAATCAAATGAAAAGCTGTGTGTGTCTGTGTGTGTGTGTGCGTGTTGTGTTGAATGGAGCCTGTGATGTCAGCAGGGTTTTCTTCTCCTTCGTTACACCACTTGAACTTTGTGTATCTGTGTATATGTGAGTTTGACCGTAGAGAATGAGAATAGAAAGAGTGGGGATGGATGGTAGAGGATGGGGGGAAAGGACAGCAGAAAAAAGAGAGAGAAAGAAAGAAAGAAAGAAAAAATAGAGACAGTAAAAAGGGCAACCACTGGGATCAACAACAAACGTGCTCCTACCGACCCAAAGCCGCCCTGGATGAGGAGCCGTGTGGGAAAAGCGCAGAGAGGAAGATAAAGAGTGGAGCAGTGGATCACATGGGAATAGTGAGAAGCTTTTCTTCTCAGAATCAAACAGATACAGACCCTCTGCCCACAGTCCCTGCAGTAATGGCCTTTCAATACAATGCTTCATTGGTTAGTGGTTGAATGAACAGCTGATTTCATGTGAACCGTGTTTTATACTTTACATTAGATGCAATAATGAACAACAGAAGTTTCTAGATTTCACGCTAACATTTCCAGCCTTGAGATACAGAGGTTTCACGCACTCAAACGTACAAATAAATAAATCTGTGTACACATTTACCTTTCAGCACGCCGTGGCTGGTCGGACCTTGGGGCAAAGGGAAGGGCAGGGCAGAGCGGGCCCCGAGGGCGGCTGTGGCCTCCAGAAGGGCCCCGGTCAGCAGGGAACACACGGATGTCCTCTGGCCACAAGAGCGATAAAACCTGGAAGTAAATGAGGATAGGAAACTTTTCTTTATTATCAGATAATGACAATCCTGATAATGACAAAAGGCCCAAACTGTTTAAATCGAAGTCGTTCTTTCAGAAATGACTGAATATGAGGTTTAAAAGAAAGGAGCTACAAACCGAGGTGGCTGAGAAGGATGACAACACCAGGGATTAAAACAGGAGTTCAGATCAGGTCTGGCTGGGATGGCGCCGACGGTGTGTGGCGGCCAACGAGACACCCCGAGACACACACGTCCAGGGAGAGACAGCAGGAGCTTTTTGGCGGGATGAATCAGGTTGAGCTCCTCTCGGTCCTGCACACAGCTGGTAACCTGTCAGGGAAACCATTGACAAATGACTCACTGGGAGGCAAAATTGGAAACACTAGAGTTTGAGGAGTCTTCAGAAGTGTGTTGGCAAACTTGCAACTTCCTGTCATTGAAACAAAATGTCTAATCTGTGCCGTTTACAAGAAGAAAAATTAAACACAAGAATACCGGAATAGTTTGAAAGGTCACATTAAAAGAATCTTTTTTTCTTTTTATATATAACTGAGACACAAGAGAGACTCAAAAGCTTTCTGGCAAATTCCACTCCTCCCTGTGCGGTTTTTTCACCTCTCAGGCTGTTATATAACATTTGAATGATGGGGTCATTGTCATCCGCTCCTCCACCGCGGTCTTTCTCAGAAGCAATTTCATTTTGACAGAGAGGAAATCAAAAGCGTGAAAATAAAGGAATTAATAGAGAGAAAGAGACACCAGCGTGAACAACAGAGAGGAAGAAAGGTGAGAAAATGGATCCAGACGGAAATCATCAGAGCGACACGGCCGGCAGGTACACGGAGAGAGGAGGAGGAATAAGCTGCAGACAAAAAGGCAAAGACGTCACTGAAAGGTTTGAACTGAGTGAACATTTTGACCTTAAAGAAAAGCCTCCTCCTCGCTCAGTTCACACTCTTCTTGGAACAACATCCATTTGACATAAAAGGAAACACTTATCCAAAACGACCGGCTTGTTCTCTGTCCTTGAGTGAACCTGCAGACGAGCTCCTCCGGCACAGATTTCAGAGAAAAGCCATTAAGGCAACATTTTGTGGCATCGTAAGTGGGCATTAAAGCGTTCAGCGGGGACAGGTAATACAGTATCGGACGAAATCAATACTGGTGACAAGAGTGGGGGGCACGAATATAATACACGCTTATAGAGAAAATACAGCTTCAGTGTAATTGTTATTGACAGCGTCGAACTGCACTCACAACACTGCGAGGAAGCTCGGTCACAAATGCATGAAGTGAAAAATAAGATTCATAAATGCTTTCAATCAATTGTGCAACTTTGGGTGCTGACAAATTCGTGTTCAAATCCACAAACCAAGCAATTTGTCAAAGTTACTATTTCTTAGTTAAACTTATTCAAAAGTTTGAAGATTTGTTTTCAACTTCTGAGTGAAGGTTGTTTTCATTTGATGATAATATCAAACATTTACAATATAAGAATCACTTTTTTAACCAGAACAGCCTCCGCATATTCAAAGTGTCACACACTCATAGACATCAGTTTTGAAAAATGCAATATTAAATAAAGTGGGAAAAAAATCCAGGATCTGCCCTCTGATCCGAATCCAAACCATGTAATGGATTCTTCCCTGATACTTGACTCATCCCTCCACTAAGTTCAGTGGAAAACTGTGGAGATGATTTTGTTTAATGGGTTTCCTGCCCGGGGTGTGTAGACCCAGCTCTTGTCAGATCGGAGCCTTCTCCAGGGAAAGGAGACATACCAGCCTGCACGTTTAAACATGGAGAGTGAGGGATACACAGAGAGGGGGGATCAAACCCAACAGCTTCTCAATAGTTTTTTCTTTTTGTGGTCTTTCCTTGTCCAGAACCTTCACTTCACTTTCACTATCAGCATCTCAGACACGGTGCACAGACGTGGAGTCTGCGACATTTACACTGTGTTTTTCCACAACATAGAGCTCATGCCTTTATTATCTGCTCTACATTTCGACAAAGTCTTAACTGATTACTGATAAACAAGGAAACTGGCTGGAGATGTTTTTAGGTTACCTCGATGTTGTGTACAGAGAAACTTTTAAAGCTTTAGCAAGACAACTGGAATGAATGACTAACAGCCAAACACAACAAGGAATAATGGAGTTTGTATTTGTGTGTATAAATCATTATTTCCCTGAATATTTCCCTGTAGAAGCCTTCTTGTTAATGACTGCAGATTTCTGCTTAGTAGGGTTCCTGTATTTATTCTTCTAACTTGTGACAAACAACAATTTATTAAAGTGACGAGACATGACCACTGTTTAAATCAGCATACAGACACATATGTTCAACACTGTGTCAAAGACTTGACAAATCCTGAAGGTTTTTTTATTGCTGTAGAAACTTCCTCAGACGGAAACGGTAAAACAATGTTAGTTCAACTGCAACACACACACCTGCAGTTTGAATAAGGTGATTAACGAAGGGATAAGACCGTAGTGTGAGAGTGTGTGTGTGTGTGTGTGTGTGTGTGTGTGTGTGTGTGTGTGTGTGTGTGTGTGTGTGTGTGCAACACAAAGTCTGACAGAACACTGTCGGGAATGTGAAGCTGCTTCTGACGGACACAGAGCAGCTGTCCTCACACAAACACACAAACAAACACACGGACCTGCACATCCACTTTCATGCCAAATGGAATAAACAGCAAATACAATAAAGACACAGCGGTAATGTGTGCGAATACAAATGTTCACCAATAATGAAATCTGCGTCGTCCAAAGATCGGAGATGTTTCTGAGGTTCTTCTTTGAAGTGATTCTCAGGTTTCACGCGTGTCCCAAGACAAGTGAATCCATAAATAACTGAGACAGAAAAGAAATGTTCTCTTGAAAGCACAAGGGAGCGAGTGAAGCGGCGAGTTGAGGACTGAGTGGAACAAGCGATTAACGGGTTTTAACATCAATTAATGGGAAACAATTAAATAAATCAACACCATTGATTGTTCATTTCAAGTACTTTTTTCAATCTCAATGAAAATAAACAGTGATTATAATGAAGTCAGGCAGGCAGAGGGACACAACAGGCACAATAATTACATTTCAACCTAATTGCATAAGTACATGTCTCCATGTTTATTGTGTCCCTCTTCCTGGTACTTTACGATACCACTGCTCTTCCCATTCATCCACTTAGCAGAGCTACGGCTAAATGAGTCAACTGCCACTTACACGGCCCCGAATCTCATGTTACACTGCATGTGCACAGGAAATGCTGATGGCTTAAGCTAAATGAAGGTAAATTATCACTGCTAGAGAGTGACTGAGCTGCACTTACAGTAAGTTACAGTAACTTCTAATGATTGCATAGTAGACATTCAAATTCTAAAGGTGTAATGCTCGTATCCAGCAGTTTGGAACACGATCCAAACTATGTGATCTGTATTTTGGCCTGTATGCTTTCAGTTTCTACTTCCAAAACGTGATGCTGGTTTCACACTTAGACTAATGCTTTAAAATGTTTTCCTGGTTATTAACCGGCTCATCCTCCTTCAGAACAGTTTTGCTGCTTTCAGACGGAAATGTGGATATTTACCTGATTTTACCTAACGATATGTCCAGACCAGAATTAATATCTGAAACCGACTGAACTAATAAAAACTGTAGCAAAAGTCTAAACCAATGCAGCATGACGTCACCAATCTGACCGTCCAGTGCGCTCTCCACGTGCCTGTTTGTTTGAAGCTTGCTGACACCGAAGGACATAAGAGAGGACAGGGCTCAAACGTATGGGATTGTTCCTGTAAGTACCAGTTCACCTTGCATGAATTAAAAGAGAATAAAACAATTATGAGTCACCAAACACCAATATTGATGCTATGACTTACTGGCAGTCGTTCCTCATAACCTACGGTTATGAGTGAGTTTGTAATTAAGCCACATTAGTGCTCCGCTGGGTAATTTCTCTGCCTGGCAACAGCCGTTCTGGGAAAGGATTAACACGGGGGTGCTGTGGGGTACCATGCAGATCTAATGAACTTTGAGCTGGAATGCACACACGCAAAGACACACATGCTAAAATGCAGACATGCAAACACACTATGATTCATGCCGGCCAAGGCCGTCAGGGTGTAATTCAACCACCCACAACTTGACCTCTTTACTTTGATGACCGACCCAGCACACTCACATACTCCCACAGTGACACCATCTCCACACACACACACACGCACATGCACCCCCCCTCCTAAATTACTCTGAATTATAATAAACTGTCATTCTGCATTTGCAACAGTCACGTCGAAGGACAGTACAAACATTTTTTGTCATAACTTTCTATAAGCAGTAGTTCTGATATAACACAACTATCGATCACATTGTTGATCAGAGCAGGCCCCCATTCAAACTTATTGTTCACCAGAACATG